GGCAACGGAGCGACCACCCGACCTTGCCACCGGGCCCCCCCGGCCGCTGAAAGGGCCCCCTGCAGCCCACCCCTTCCCTGTGGCCCACGTCCCGGGGGATTTGTTCACCTCCTCAGGTGCCTTTTCTGCCTCTTGCTCCTTGCTGGGATGGAGATGCCGGGGAGGGAAGCGCTGAATGTCCAGCCTGCCCTGAGCCCCCGTATTCCAGCGTCCCCCCTCCGGGAGAGCACGGGGCACCCCGGGGTCACCCCACGCTGGGCTGTAGGGGTGTGTTTCGGCGTAGGAGGGCAGGAGTTCTAATAACACCCCGTTTAATTAGGGCAGGACGTGCTCGGCCCGCTGCAGTAGCGAGGCGGGGGGGGCTGCTGCTCCCCTCTGCCTGGGCAGCCCCCGGGAGCAGCGCGGGGCTCCAGCTCGCTCCGCAGGGGAAGCTCTGTCCTCCTTTCTGCAGCGCAGGAGTTATTTTTTGACCCCAGCAGCTCGTAGGTGCGCGGCAGCTCGCGGGCCCGCTGCGCTCGCTCTGCGAGCACGAGGCTATTCCCAACATATTTCCCATCAGCGGTGCGAGAATTTGGGTTATTCCAGCTATTCTTCTCGTCTCCCCGGAGCACTGACACAGCGGCTGCCGACAGAAACGTGAAGATGGGGAGGACGTGGCGGTAACCAGCCCCTCTCTGGATTTGTCTTGCAGATCTTCTCTCAAGAGTACATCAATCTTCTGCTTTCCATGTATTTCTTTGTGCTGGGGATCCTCGCCCTGTCCCACACCATCAGGTACGGCAGGGGGGGGAGGGTGTGATGGGGGCAGGGGTGTCCGAGGCTGACAGCTCTGCAAGGCAGCAGGGTGTTGAGTTTATTGGGGGGCTTCTAGAGCGCCCTTGCCTTGCAGCAGAGCCACGTCTCAGCTCTTTGGCTGTTGTCCCTTGGCGGTGTGGAGGGCCCAGAGCACGCCGTGACCCCGTCCTTGTGGGGGAACCAAAGTCTCGGGGGTCCCGGTGATCCCATCCAGCTCATGGAGGTGTGGGTGACCACCACGGTGGGGCAAGGCCAGCTCACCCTGAGGAGCTGCTGTAGCTCGGCCCAGGCCTTGCTGCCCTCTGGAGGGGAGAGCTCCTCCTGTTCCCCTTACTGGGACGGCTGAAACCGGCAGCTGGAGCTCACCATAACGTCCCCGGCCTCTTGCACCGATCCTTGGTGCGAGGTGTGGAAAGCTCGGGCCGTTGCAGTAACTGAAAAAGTCAAACTGGTTTCCTGTTTCCTGAGCTCTAGGGCACTGGGGACCAGCTGCTTTCCCTAGACTGGCGCTGGGCAAGGGCTTCGTCTCAGCTCCCGGCTCTGCAGGAGCGCCGTGAGGTGCTGGCCCAGCCCGTTCTGGGGGCTGCTGGGGGGCACAGGGCTCCGGCTGGGCTCTGGGGTGGGTCTTCCCTTCCTGCAGGCGATGCTCCTGTTGCCTTGGAGCATTTCGGGGGGGTGGCTGTCACAGATGGGCAGATCCGACCCCCGCGGAGGACGAGGTCCCGTGTCTGCGGCTCGGTCTGCAGGAGCGCCGTGAGGTGCTGGCCCAGCCCGTTCTGGGGGCTGCTGGGGGGCACAGGGCTCCGGCTGGGCTCTGGGGTGGGTCTTCCCTTCCTGCAGGCGATGCTCCTGTTGCCTTGGAGCATTTCGGGGGGGTGGCTGTCACAGATGGGCAGATCCGACCCCCGCGGAGGACGAGGTCCCGTGTCTGCGGCTCGGGGGCACCTGCCGGTCCCTGGTGTGGTGAAACCTGGTGTTTCCCCATCTCGGGAGGGGGCGTGGGCCGGTGTCCGTGCTGCGGTGCCGGGTGTCCTGCGGGGTTTCTGTCAATCTGCCCTTCTCTCGTTTCAGCCCCATGATGAACAGATTCTTCCCGGCGAATTTCCCCAACAAACAGTACCAGCTCCTCTTCACCCAGGGCTCCGGGGAGAGCAAGGAGGGTATGTCGGCTCGCCGGCCTCTCTGAGGGCCTGGAGGTTTTCTGCCTTGACGGGTTTTCTTTTTTTGCTCACTTGGTGGTTTGACTTTCGGCCCCTTGAAACAACTTACTCCAAAACTTGCCTCTTGCTCCCCGCTGAGCCGGGGCGAGCCCCGCCTGTCCCTGCAGAGCTGGGGGATCCAGGAACGGATCCCAGGGTGCTGTAGGGATGGAGCTATGGCTGCTGCTGCTCTTTAAGCTCCGTGGGGCGCACAGCACTGATGTTTGTGGGCTGCCTTAACTGATCTGATTCAAATCTTGGCGCTGGTAGAAGGTGCTTTGATAAGTATCCTGCCCAGTCGCTTTACTGGGAAGGGAAGTCGTCTTCTAGTGATACCACCAGGAGTTAACTGGTGCTGGAAAAGGGAGAAGGTTTGCCTCTCCGTGCCTTAGGCAGCGCCTGAATCCAATTTCCTCATGGACAGAAGGATGGCAGATGCTGTCCCTGTGGCTGAAGGAGAAGGTCCGGGCTGGCCAGGCCCGGCTGCTCGCTCACGTGCGGTTTGCATGCGGTTACCGTGGGCACGGCCGTTTCTGGGGGTACAGTCCCCTCGTTTGGGACGTGAGCGCTGCGGTGATGTTGCTCCCCAGCTGCGAAGTCGCTCGCCCCTGCCCTGCGCGGGAGGGGGAGCTGCCCGGGCTGCCCCCAAATCCAACTCCTCTCTCTTTTATTGCAGAAATAGTGAATTACGAGTTTGACACCAAGGATCTCGTGTGCCTGGCCCTGAGCAGTGTTGTGGGGGTCTGGTACCTGCTGAGAAAGGTAAGCGAGCCCCCGAGAGGGGACCAGGCTGGCTCAGACCCGCAAGGGCCTGCGGAGGCCGAGGGCACGTGCAGCGGGACCCAAATCTCCTTTTCCCGTCGTTCTCAGCACTGGATTGCCAACAACCTCTTCGGGCTGGCTTTCTCCCTCAACGGGGTGGAGCTGCTGCACTTGAACAACGTCAGCACCGGCTGCATCTTGCTCGGGGGCCTCTTCATCTACGACGTCTTCTGGGTAAACGGGAGCGTTCCCCGGGGCGGGCGCGAAAAAGGTGGCGGGAGGCGTGTGCGCGGCGTCGGGCCCTGGCGTTGGCGCTCAGGATGGCCGCTGCCTCGGCCCAGAGGGGTGGGGAGGGGCTGGTGACGGGATCAAACGGTGGCAGAACGCGGCTCGGCAAATGCATTCCCTATTTAATCTCCGGCTTAGAGAGCCCAGGGCTGGCGGGGATCTCCTCAGGGGCTGCTGTGGGGTACCGGGGTGTGCGGCATACCCGGTTCTGGTGACTGGTGTTCCCCGCTAAGATCTTCCCTGATGGAGCTGCTGGGTGGGCTGGAGGATGAGGCTGCTCTGGGGTACACTGGTCCTGCTGGTACGGGCTGCACTGAGGCATCTTTCCATCCTCTGGCACGGGGGAGCAAACACCAGAATGCCTCCAGTCTCTCTCCCTCGCCCAGTGCAGCACCCTGACATCTTCATCTGCAGCTTTTCCTTCTCTCTCTGCAATGGAGACGCCTGTTTCTTCTTGTAACGTCCCGTATTCCCCAGTCCTTCCTGCTGCCTCCACCTCCTGAAAAAAAAAATCCCAGGGTCTGAGAGCCTTGGGCGCCTTGAGGTCACCCAGCAGCTCTGCAGCTGCCTCAGTAACCCTTCCCCAGCTAAGCCTGGCTACTGTGTGTTATTTTGTGCTGCCCCTGTTTCGTCGGCTCGTTAATAATGGTCTCAGCCCTGTGGTTCGTTAGCCTGTGTGCTGCTCCCTCGGCTGGAGAGGGATCAGCCTGGCTTGGCACACCCAGTGCCTCACGCCCTGCTCGGGGTTGCGAGTCTCTTCCCGGTGTTTCAAAGCCAGCGAGCGCAGCCCTCGCTGCTCGCCCCTTGCTGTCTCTGCCTCGGCTTCCCCCGCCGGTCGGTTTATCGCCGGAGCCCCACGGAAGGGCCGTCTGGAAGTGGGGACCCTCCTCCTGTGCCCCTCTGCGGGGACCCGTCGCTTGGGTCTTGGATCTCAGCACGGAGTGAACCGCAGCGCGGTCCCAGCAGGGTTTCAGGGAGGAAGAACTGCCCAGGGGACGGATGCTATTGCCCCCTGCGTGGT